TTAATGAAAAATGGGTAAATGGATAAAGGGATAAATGAAAAAGAGAAATTGAGAAATCGATAATATAAAAAACAAATAAATTAAAAATTGGGTTAATGAAAAAGCTAAGTTATTTATTTAACCAATTTTTAATTTATTTCACGCATTTTCTTCATTTTTTGATTTATTTTACTCATTTTTTTATTTATTTCACCCATTTATTTATTTATTTAATTTTGGCTAAAACGGCTCTCCATAGAGCTCAGCTCTGATGTGTGTGTGTCCTGACCTGAAGTTGTCCATCACACTCCATCAGTGAGAACTGGAAATACAGGAAGCGGGAGGTGACCATGTTGGCTCCGCACGAGCCTAGTCTGAACCGAGACGGCTCGGTCCACGCGCGCAGCAGCGAGCGGTCCACGCGCACAGACACCGTCTCCGCGCCGCACGTGGCCTCCACAGCGCGCGCGCCCCGACCCAGCCCGGTCGCCCGTGGTTTTGCCGGGGGTATGAGCAGCGCAGTGAGTCCGGCAGGAACACGCTCATCGGAGTACCGAGCCGGCAGGAGCAAGTCCTGGGGCACGAGCTGCCTGGGAGCGTGCAGGAAGACCGGCAGGCGGTGGAACGAAGAGTCGGACGCTCCGTTCTCTGCTGGCCTCTCAAACCACATGGAGCGGGAGACGGGACCCCCCAGAGTCGAGTGGAACCAGCTCCAAAGAAGCCAGAGAGCCAACATCATCCTAAAACCAACGCAGCAAGAACCTGAGTCCAGCCGAGTCCAGTAACAAGTGTGGTCTGGATCCGGTGTCATTAAGACACCTGCTGCTGCAGCTGATTGGGAGAGGAAACACCTTCAGGCCTCAGCTGCACAAAAACCCAGAAAGTTCTGTTGGAAAAAAATAGTTCGATTCTAAGTTTTCAAAATTTAACAACTGCCTAAAGACCACAGAATTTCAACAGAGCAATATTAGTGCAATTATATATATATATATATAAACAACATTCACTGTACATTTAACTGTGTACATAATATTCTTTAGGTGTTCATGGAGAGTTGTCTCCACACAGCATGAAGGTCACAGGTTTGCATCCTGGCCTGTGGAGTTTACATGTTCTCTCCATGCATGCATGGGTTTTCTCACTCTGGTTTCCTCTCACTGGTTAAAAATATGTATTCTCATATTTATGAGATTCTAATCCTAAACAGCAAGGGGAAATTAAAAACACACACTAAGCAAAAGCTTGGGACTTGGGAGAATACATCCTTGGACTGGTCCTAGCTGTTATACGTTGTTTACAGTTATTGAAATCCATTTAGTAGTTCAGCTACTTTGCTAACAGTGATAAAGACAGAATAAAAACACGTTTTTTTTTTTTCACTTTCAGCAGCAGCAGCAGGAGATATCTGCAGTGACTCCAGAGTAAAAGCATCTACAAAGAGCCTGCAACACACAGGAGTTTACTTTGAAGAATATTTTGGGATGTGGTAGAATAGAGCAAGAGTAAGGGCATTGATGTATTTTTTAAAATGAGACAAGGTTGTAGGCCTACTGTAGGATACAGTGTTTTTTGTTGTTATTTCACATTTTAGCTATACATAAGGTTGCAGTTTGACCCATACTCCCCAGAACAGTAGGTGGCCATAAAACTTGAAGAAGAAAAATAAGACAGGAAACAGCTTCACATTAAAGTAAAAAGGGTTAATGATGGAGTTTCAATTGAGAAACGCTTGCTTTATTTTAGCAGTTCAGTGGGTAGAATATTTGCTCAGATTCTAGTTCATTATTGGTCAGTTTGCAACATAACCAGTCAGATACCAGATATATTAATTGAAATACAGCAAATACTATAATCAGGGGTTTACAGTAAATTTTATAAGGGCTCCAGCACATCATGGGGTTATAGAGAATGAAATGACAGATGGCTAAGGAGAGCACCAATTAGGCATTGGTTGATATTAGATTTATTGTAGGCTAACAGAAATAAAGGGTATAATAAACAAAACTGAAAGAGAGGTAGTAAAAGTTATGGGGGAAGAAAAGAAAGGGCGTTGGTTTTACAGAATCCAATGGAAAATTTGAGAAATGAGGAAAAACAGAAAGGAATAGGAGAAAAGAGACAACTATTTCACAACATAGAAACTGGACACACTGGACTGAATAGCACATTATTCTTAATAGGGAAACATCAGACAGGGAAATGTGAGTGTGGGGAAGATGAGACAGAACACATTTTTGCATTGCAGGAGTTACCAGGTTCAGAGAAATATGTTAATAAAGAATCTTAGTAATATGAAAACGAACATTGTTGATTTATTGCAGAAAGATTCAAGAAGCAGGGGATTTCAGGCTATATTTTATTTTTTAAACGGTGTGAGTTGTATGTGGGATAAAAAAAAGGAAAAAAATTGTATAGGTCCTCTGGACGGGTTCTTCTTTAATGAAACGTTTCGTCTCTCCTCCAAGAGACTTCTTCAGTCTGAGAGTTTCATAAACAAGTCATAGTGCAAAAACACCCTGTTTAAACTATTAGGGTCAAGGCACAAACCTGCAGAGAATATTCTTACATAAAAATTGAAGCAAAAGGTGGAATAGTCAATTACATAGTCAACGTGGTTCTTCTCAAAAAGAAAATGGCCTGCATGTACACGTGGACAAAATTGTTGATTCCCCTCATTTAATGAAAGAAAAACCCACAATGGTCACAGAAATAACTTGAATCTGACAAAAGTAATAATAAAAATTATATGAAAATGAACAAATGAAAGTCAGACATTGCTTTTTAATCATGCTTCAACAGAATTAAAAAAATGAAACTCATGAAACAGGGCTGGACAGAAATGATGGTACCCCTGAAAATAATGTGACCAAAAGGGTCATGTTTAATCAAGGTGTGTCCACTACTTATCATCACAGGTGTCTACAATCTTTTAATCAGTCAGTGGGCCTGTAGGTTACAGATGCTCACTGTGCTGTTTGGCGATATGGTGTGTACCACACTCAACGTGGACCAGAGGAAGTGAAGGAAAGAGTTGTCTCAGGAGATAAAGAAAATTCTAGACGAGCATGTTAAAGTTAAAGGTTGTAAGATCATCTCCAAACAGCTTGATGTTTCTCTGACTACAGTTGTACATATTCAGAAATTTAAGATCCATAGGACTGTAGCATGGGTGTAACCGTGATAGGTACGGGGTGGGACATGTACTGTACCCCCCACTTCCAATATCTGTGCCCTCTGTCCCCGTCACTTTTTTCAGCCGAAGCAGGAAAAAGATACCTTTAAAAAATTGTGTCCCCCAGGAAAAATGACAATTTAAAGCGATTGTTAATACGAATGGTAACAAAAAGAGCCCCCCCCCCCCAAAAAAAATAAAAAATAAAAATCTAAAGAGATTTAAGATGAACTTCAAGCTCAAGGAACATCAGTGTCAGATCAGAACCATCTGTCGTCGTTTGAGCCAAAGTGGCCTTAATGGGAGACAACCAAGGAGGACACCATTGTTGAAAACAAATCATACAAAAGCCAGACTGGAATTTGTCAAACTACATGTTGACAAGCCACAAAGCTTCAGGGAGAATGTCCTATGGACAGATGAGACCAAAATGGAACTGACTCACAGTTCTATGTTCACAGAGGGAAAATGAAGCATGAAGAAACAAACTGTCCCTACTGTGAAACATGGAGGAGGCTCGATAAAGTTCTGGGGCTGCTTTGCTGTATCTGGCACAGGGTGCAATAAAATCTCAAGACTATCAAGGGATCCTCAGTTGCAGGTCATGGGTCTTGCAACAGGATAATGACCCAAAACACAGCTAAAAAACCCAAGAACGGCTGAGAGGAAAACACCAGACTATTCTGAAGTGGCTTTCTATGAGCCCTGATCTAAATCCTATTGAGCATATTCGAAAGGAGCTGAAACATGCTGGCTAGAAAAGGCACCCTTCAAACCTGAGACAACTGGAGCAGTTTGCTCATGAGGAGTGGACCAACATACCTGCTGAGAGGTGCAGAAGTCTCGCTGACAGTTACAGGAATCATTTGATTGCAGTGATTGCCTCAAAAGTTTGTGCAACTAAATATTAAGAGTACCATCATTTCTGTCCAGGCCTGTTTCATGAGTTTGATTAAAAAAAAATCTGTTGAAGCATGGTTGAAAAGTAATGTCTGACTTTCATTTGTTCATTTTCATAGAATTTTTATCTATTTTGTCAAATTCTAGTTATTTCTGACGATTGTGGGGTTTTCTTTAATTAAACGAGGGGTACCAACAATTTTTTCAACGTGTGTAGGCAAACAGCTGACCTTAATGTACACATACAGACACTCCCCGATGACTTCCGGAAACTTTTGATTAACATCTTTAAAATGATAGCGGCCCAAACAAAAATTTTTGCTGCACAAACCAGCTCAAATGTAGCACAAACGTTTGACACCAATTTCGATAAATTTGAAAAGGGTGGTGAGGCAAACTTTACTCAGGTTATTGAAACTTTCATGAATTATTTATTGGATGTACACACTTTTAACATTTGGAATCAATCCAGTTCAAGATGGTGGCCACAGCTTATTGTATGTATATTGTCATTTGTATGATGGCAAAGACTGTCAATGGTGGAAGTTTTGGTACGGTGAAAAATCCACCAAAAATCCACTAAAAATCCCTGAAAAAACACGCAACACTGATTTGATTGTTGCACCCTTTATTCTTCTCAACAAATTACAAAATAAATAAAACACTTGTCAGACTAATATCTGATTTATCGAAGGTAGACAGCAGGAAGTATTGGTCTATTTCACTAAAAATGGTTTTAAAGAAGGTAGAACCAAATGATTGCAGTGAAGTCTTTAAAGATGGGACATGACGTTGGTAAGAAACTGTTAGCAGAATCAGTTCATAGTTTCTTTTCATGCAGTATACATAACAAAAAAATTACCTCATTTAGATAAACGTTATAAGTTATATAAGTTAATAAGGAGTTAGATTAAGCACTAACTAGTTAGTAAAGTATTAATGTGGTTTCTCGCAGAGCTGCAACTAGTTTGAGTCTCATGGAGACTCCAGATTATCTTGTCGTAGTTCTCAAAATTTCTGGCGTGAGTCTCAGAGGCTCATAGTCTTGTAACTTGTGTTTTGAACATATTAAAAACATTTTGCCACTTTTCCCCCCCAAAATAAACAAAGGAATCTCCAACCCATCTCCAGAGCTTTAGAGCATTATACTCTGACATTGCACAAGATCTCTCTTCTTACAGAAAACATCTGAGGCAAATGTCCAGGTCTAAAAACTTAACCTTAATTTCTAGTGGACCCCAGCAGAATATATCTTAAATGCGGAAGCAGCTGCCAGTGAGGTTACAAAGTGGGACTAGGTGGGAAATAAAATAATGTGCAAGGCAAAGAATGCAGTTTTGATCGTGATTGTCAAAAACTGGTAGCTCCAAATCAGGCTGCACCACCTCCTGGTCACAAACACTCGGACGTCTGAAATTGCAACTGAAAATGTTCCAATTTTCTCGCAATCCGAGTCACTAACTAGTCTTAAAAGTAGCAGCTCAGTGAGATACCACCTTAAGATCAACAGGGGAAACAGAACAGTTCCTGTGTTTAAAGAGTTCCAGGATTGTGACAGCCAGTAAACACATGTGGGGGCTGGTCCCCTGCAGAGTCACTCTCATCAGAGCCCCAAGTGGTTCCAGCATCCTGCAGAGCAACTAGTGACATGTCAGCTTGTACATCCTCTTCGTCTGATTGTACCATAGGCTCAGCACTGTCTTCTTCCTCCTGCCACTCTCCAGTCTGGTTGGACAGGTGGTTGTCTACAGGTGGGGCTTGGGTCAGTGACTCAGAAGAGCAGGATTCAGGGTCTGGACCTGTTAAAGAGGACAATGTTTCACTGAGTAGGTAAGTGTCACTCTCACATGTAAAGCTGTTGAATCAGTCAAACACTTTTAGTAGATACAATTAAGTTACGGTGGGCCTGGTGTTTTCTTTAAGTTTGATATTACAGCACATTATGAAGGTATTATTGGTGTAATACAATTCAAACATTTATATGTGTTAATCTTTAGCACTGGGCTTCCAAAGCACAAGAGTTATTTGTAACGAAAAATGAACATTTTGGAAGTCAAGCTTTTGTTCTGACCCAATTTCTTTCCTTTTTTTATGCCTTAAACATGTTACGCTGATAGTGTCCCACCTTAAAATGTTGGCCAGCAGTTTTTATCGTTTTACAGAAGCTGCCATGTTGTATTTTTGGAATCAGAGTATATGCACTTGCAATTTGAGGCTTTAAGCTCCGCCCACTCTCTTGCAAACAACCATGGTGTCCATATAATGGGGGAAAGTCTGTGTAATAGCCTATATGCCATGGTCATTAATGACGTTAATTTCCAGTAAAATTCTTGCCAAGCTCCTCCCTTCCAACTCCCTGCTTACTGCCTATGTTTTTACTGTTAGCTGCTAGTACTAGTCCGTGAAAAAGTTACAAAAAGTTGAAGCATCTGTGAGCTACTGGTATAAAACGTGAGTTCTGTTGTGTGTCGTTGTGTCCCCTAAGCAGCAGGTACGATCGAGTTGTTAGTTTTTCTCCTTTTTCCTTTAGATGAGGAGGTGACAGCTGTGGATCATAGCATTACAGGCAAAACTTATGTTTAAAAGCTCACGCTTGTGTTTGTAATCTGCATTTCTAACCTGAGGATATTCAAGAGCCAGCATCAGAAATGAGAAGATGGATGTTACAAAACGTAAATGTACATTTATCCCCTTTTACTGCCAAGACCGAGAGAGGAAAGACCTCCACGACAGCTAGCAGGAAGCTAACACAGCAGCCGGTACAAAGGTAGACATATGTGCACGCGTTTGTGTTATCTGAAATGTTTTTATGCAACTTTGTCATAAGTTTTATGCAAAAGTAAAAACTTGTTAGAGTGTATATTACAGCGTAGACTAAAGACGAGTGACGAGCGCGCCCCCCCTCCCCCGAGCACCGAGAGCAGCAGAACCTCCGCCTGATAATTGTTAAGTTTTCAGTTCACTAACGTCGGGGAAAACGATCCAAACCATACAAGTAGCCCATCAATTTAAAGCCCAGACTCTGCTCTTTCCAACAATATAAGTGTCACAGCTCTACGTGAAAAATTCACGGAACAAGCAGCCATGGAACAGCGAAAAAGGCCAAATTCTGGAACCATAAACACGAACGTCTTTCCTGTACGTCTCCTGTGTTAATGTTGGTACATGTAATATGCTAATTCTGTACTGTGGAGATCATTAAGAGTCGTTGTCGGGTGAAAAAATCTTTCGCTAACACTGTGTTGATAGTGAACCGGAAGTGTTGGGAGTGGCATCCAGTGCTGGGCCGGATGTCCGTGGCATATAGGCAATTCATGGACAATCCGTACAACTTGACATGCATGAAACCAGGCGTGGGCATCAATGGCAGTGAGAGTCTGTTGGATTGACCAATCCAATTACCGTATTTTTTGGACTATAAGCCGCGACTTTTTTCCTGAACTTAGAACCATGCTGCATATAGTCCGGTGCGGCTTATATGTGGATTTTTTTCTTCAGCCACCAGGGGTCTCTTTAGCCGGAGGTGTGGTAGCCGTGAATAAAAGGAAGAAGAAGAAGCACCATTTTGTTTTAGCTAGTAGCAGACACGACACGACGGATTAATCTTCGACAGACACGATGAAATATTTCTCTTCAAATTCAAACGCGCTCATCATGGAAAAGAATAGAAGATCTTCCTATGATGCCGCTTTTAAGTTGAAGGCTAATGAAATTGTGCAACAGGAGGGAAATAGAGCCACTGCACGTAAGCTCGGCCCGGGTTCCGTAAGGCTGGACTGCTATGTGAAGAGGGTACCACAGCTTCAGAGCCAGCATTACCCCAGGATAAAAGATACACAGAAAGCAACGCTGAACAGATACCGCGGTGTGACGAAGCTTTTCTGAGCTTGTTCAACGCCGAGACTGAAGAAGAGGACTTTGATGGTTTCAGTGCGCTGGAGGAAGATGAATGAGACGTTTCGTTGTTTAGTTGGATCAGAAACTGTTAAAGAAAACTACCAAAATAAGGTCAGTTAAATGAACCATATTCCTCCGAACTTTAATTCCTAAAGGTTTGCTTTTTATGTTTTGATGTTGAATGCACTTCCTTGACGGCAATTTTGGGTGTATTTTTTTTTATGTTGGGGGTGCGGCTTACAGTCCGAAAAATACAGTAGCAACACAGCATCAATATGTTACTGAAATATAAAATCCTATGATTTATCGTAGTCCAAACAGTCTTTTGCAATACTGTTGTAACACTCATCATTCTGTAGTTACTTCTGTAAATACTGTAGTGTTGACAACACGAAGTAAATGAGTTGGAGTTACCTGATGTCAGGGATGATCCAGCACTGATATCTTCACCAGCAGAATTAAGGAAGTCATCTAAAGCTTCTTGGTCTGATAAGTTAGTGACTGTCATCTCATCCAGAATAGAGACATCAGGCCCTGCTGACTCTGCAAGACACACACACATACAGAATATGCCATTATATTGAAATAATACATTCATATTTTTATATTTTGTCTTGTTTTATGGTAAAAATGGTAAATTGACTGAACTTATATAGTGCTTTATACTGTCATTCACACATTCGCAGACTGATTGGAGTAAGCTACAACCCAGTGGTGGATGCTGGTCTTTCAAGAAGGGGAAGCTCAATTTTGGCCTACAAAATGTGTCGGTTTATTTATACGTAAATTCTACCCTCCATTCCTTTTCAAGAAAATGATCTGTGACCCTGTCATAGATCATTTTACAGCACTTCCAGTCAGCCAGCTGACTTTCAACTTATGTGTCTTTTGTTTTACAGCTCACCTCTGTTCTGCAGACATCCAGTAGACAGATACTGCTCCACGTCTTGGTGAAAGGCTTCTTCATAAACCTTTTGTCGTTCTCTCAGTTTGTGCTGCATGGCCAGCTCCAGTTCTGCCAGCCTCTGAGCATGTTCACAGTTCAGCTCAGCTACACACAGAACACATGATGAGCACTATGAAGTGGTCACATTCAGACAATATGTTTATGGAAAGTGGTAATTATTTAAGAGTCGATGCAAATGTTATACAGTTTTTGCAAGCAAGCTACTGCATACTTTATACCATGCTAACTATATATTAAAAGATTCATCTCGACTGAGATTTTCTGCTTTTACTTTTGGTGATTTGTTTTTTTTAAATATAAAAGTTACAAACCAATTTTATTTACATTTTTCCCCAAACACATCTCAAAAACGATGGACAACACAAGGCTTTAAAAGTAAAAGGTACAAATAAAAGAGCAGCTGGAGGAGCATTTAATAAATAATTCAATTATTTGACAACCAGTCAGAATGAGAGCTGAGTATAAAAAGAACATTTTAGAAAGGTGCAGTTTATATTGTCTTCAACATTTCCACAAATCGTTGTTTGCAATCACAGAACATACGCTCCCATTGAGACAAAATTATTTTCAAGGAAGACCTTGCATATTTCAATAAGATGATGCTAAACAGCATCCCGCATTACAACAGCTTTGTAGTAAAAGAGTCTGGATGCTGAACAGATCTGCCTGAAGTCCAGACATCTCAGCAGTTGTAATCATTTGTGGCATCATGAAACAAAAGAAAATCCAGCGAGAAAAAGCAGGACTGCTAGAATTCTCCATCATCTTCTACCATGAGTTGTGGAGGCAACAGGTCCAGGAGAGAAACCCGCCCTCCCTTTACCCAGCAACACTTTCCAGCTCATTCTGAGGGACTCTGTGGCATTCAGAGGATACATAATCCCTCCAGCGAGTCCTGGGTCTTCCCCGAGGCCTCCTACCAGTGGGACGTGCCCGGAACACCTCTAAAGGGAGGCATCCAGGAGGCATCCTAATCAGAAGCCCAAACCATCACAACTGACTCCTTTCGATGTGGAGGAGCAGTGGCTCTGCTCTATGCTCCCCTCAGATGACGGAGCTCCTCACCCCATCTCAAGGCTAAGCCCGGCCACCCTACAAAGGAAGCTAATTTCGGCTGCTTGTATGAAATTTCTAGTTCTTTGGGTCATGGTCTACACCAGAGATTTTTAACCTGTGGGCCGAGCGCCACCTCGAGGGCCTCAAAAGAACAGCAGTTTTTAACTTTGGGCCGCAGAGGGCCGTGGGACCGCATTGATTTTGAATAAGGTGCAATACACTTTCTCACCACTAGTAGCAGTAGTGCGCCACTCAGTTGTTTAACAACATTTTTAATATGTAGAAGAACTTTAAAAACCTGCCGAGAATGGAAACCTAAATGAAAAGTAGAAGCAAGTGCAGCTTCTGTTTTTACCAGGCAATATTTTAAAAGTTCAAAACATTATCAAATACAGTTGCAGATACAACTACATTTTAATTTGCACTTTAAATTAATTTTTGTAGTTT